CATAAAGACTTGCATCGCGAGGCAACAATAAATAAATAAATTCTACAATAACTCAATAGTCTTGAATGGAAAAAATGGAAAACAAATAGTGACTGGTGAGGTTCATGTGTGTGAAAGAAAATCCTGAATGGATTTTCCACATAATTGTTCTGCAACAAATTACTGGCTTAACCGAATTTTCCGACTCAATTATGGCCAGCAGCAGCAACAACACAAAAAAAAATGGCAAGAAAAGTTTAAAGAGCCTTTAAGCCAAGCCATCACGTCCACCATTGCCTTTCTGAATTTTTCCTCAATTTCCTCCCACCATTTCCCACAAAGCCGGCCGGCATGGTCAGTTTGTTTTGGGCCAAGTTTGCTTTTGCTTTTGCCTTTTGGCCAACAAGCATGCTTTTGAAGGCAAATTGTTTCTTTTCGATGGTTTTTTTTTTTTTTTTTTTTTTTCTTTGGGGAGCTCTTTTGGCTTTAAGCAGGTGCGACTTGTGCGTGTGTGTGAGTGTGAGTGTATGGGTGTATGAGTGTGTGTGTGTGTAAGACACCTTACAAACGTGTTTGGTGCTATTGTTGTTGGTGTTACCTAATCGTCTGCGGACAGGTTATCGCCTTGCTCTTGAACTTGAGGCAGACAAACAAACAAAGCCCAGCGTGGAGCTTGAACGAGACCGAGTGGCATGAAAATATATATTTAAAATTTAAAACAAATATGGGTCCAAGTGATGATATATGGATGACAGACCTTGCCCCTCTACTTTCAAAAAAAACAGAGATAATTCCCAGTCCAAATAATTATTCCTAGTATTTATAATTAGTTATCATGGAAAATAGCTACTTTATATTTTTTTTTGAAAAATAATCTCTACTTAGATAGTGTCTATAGAAAGCTTTCTATCGGCAAGCCTTTCATCGCATCTCTTAGGTATCCGTTCATGCACACAAATGAGGCATGCCACACCCACCGCCCCGCCCCCCGCTCCCTCCCCGTTTTCCAGTTAACGCGGACAGCAATTATTAAAACAGAGCCATTGGCGACATGATAAACGATTTCCGCAATATTTCCGCCTGCCCAGAACGCTTTATCCAGGATGCCCAGCCCGGGCAGGCAGGAAAACATAGAGTTCACTCTGCGTAGTGGGGTGGCCACCCCTTCTTTTGGGCCTCCGCAGCTGGCCCGGGATGATGACCCGCAGGCGGAACGCTTACTGCGACACACTTCAGTCGGCAACACAAATTTGCGCTGCGTTCGGGGGAGTAGGGTGTTGGGAGTTAGGTACTAAGAGTTGGTAGTTGGAGAAGGGTTTCCCAGGCAAACACTCTTGTTTATTCAGCTCAGGCATTGAGGGGCCTAAGCAGGGTTAGAGGGGGGCGGTTATTACCAAGTGACATTCAAAAAAGATTTTTTTAGAACCTCTCTATAAAAGAAATATATCTAAGGGGTTTTAGAAAAAAGATTTTTGTGGCTTTTTAAAATACTGAAACATTTCTAGAATATTTTAGAAAAAGTTCATCTGGATCTATAGAATACTTTTTGAGATAAAGTGAAAGGTAGTAGCTTTCTTCAGTCTGTCAGATAGACTCTAGCTATATAGTCATTTAAAACATAAAAATCGTGTATAGTAATCTATCTATAATACTATATCTATAATATATCTATAATACTATATCTATAATATATCTATAATATCTATATTTTTCTATGTATAATATCTATCTATAATATATAAATCTATAAATACCCTAATCTATGTTTTTAAAAACCTCGTTTTCTCGAAAACTACTCTACCAATCTTGATGAACTTTGAGATAGGTCTTCAAAATACATTAAACTAGTAGTTAAGGTAAGGATTTTTAATTATTTTAACTGGAAAAAAAATATTCAGACAAAAATACTGAGAATTTAGACTTAAAATGTTGTCTATTCTTACGTACAATTTTAAACAAAAAATAGAGATTATTTTAAGAAACTTTTAAGCCAAATATTCAGCTACTATATTATTTAAAAAGTCAAATAATTCCTTAAAAACAAAATAAACATTTATTTACCCCATTTATCTTTAAAAAAAAAATCTATAAAAAAAAGGCAATGGTTTCTGTTTTTTAACTCGCCAACCAGCAATATGCAAATTGTATTAATTATGCGGTTTATTCTACGGCAAGTGAACGACCTTGGAAATGTGATACAAATGGCAGGGAATATTGTTATTGCATTTTAATAAATGACTGAATTAATTGTGAAAGCAAAAAGCTCTTAAAAACACTAAATTCTTTCCAAATCTGACCTATTTGGAATCTAAAACGTTTCTAATCACTGATTAGGAAAAAAAAATAAAAACATTTCATGATAAGAAGATGTTCTAACCTCGATGAGGATCATCTGAAAAATCGTATCTCACCCTGCTGTATCCCGAGGGCATGGGCATAGGCATTGACAACCCCCTTCCCCTAGGGTTGTCAGGCAAACAAACAATTTGTTTGATTGATTTCGGTGGCTTTGTGCATTTTTTCCGTTTAAATTGTGACAATATTCTGGCGTCGCGACGCCTCAAATAAGGAAATGCTTACTTTAATTTTTATTTGCCTCAGATCCGCCTCCCTCTTGTCTCTTTCTGGATGAGTCTTAACGAGACAGAGACGGGCAACTGACGGAAAATGGGGGTCTTTGTTGTGTATGTGGGGGGACCTCTGGGGACCCCTCGGGTCATGGATCATGTGCATGCATAATGTGACAAGTCAAGAAGAAGAGAGCACACTGTTCCAGTCTCTTTACATAATTTATTTAAATTTATTTGTTGTTCCAGTGAGTTTAAGTCATTTTGTTGTAATTATATAATATTTTTTACAAATAATTTATTTATTTTAGACTGGAATTTTGTTTATGTTGATGTGAGCATAAACCCCAAGGCCCTTTTGAAACATTTATATCATAAACATGTTTACATGCCGCTTTAATCCCTTTATTATGTTGATGGGTTAAGAAATACCCGGAGGTTCTGAAACTTTCCATCCCCCACTACCCCTCCCCCAATAAAAATTCCACCAAAAACCAACAAATTTTCACTTTTTTTTTATTTTATTTATTTTATTTTATTTATTTATTTATTTTTTTGTTTATTTCCCGTTTGTTTTGTGGCATTTTTGCAAGCAAAGAAAACCAAAAGAATTTGCATAACAAAATGAAACGAAAACTAGCGGGCGGGGGGGTGCCAGCCAGCCTGTCGGAAAGAGAGAGAGAGATAGAATGAGAGACAGGCTGGCAGACAGACGGAGAACAGTTGTTATTTTTGGCACAAAACAGGGGATGGGGGGTGGGGATGGGGATGGGGATGGGGATGGGAATGTGGAAGCGAGAGGGGCTGATGTTTACTCGCGGGTTGGGCTGCTGGGCCAGGTTAATGCACCGCAGATTAACAACAATTAAGATGCGCGTTAGAGTGAGATACAAGATACATAGATAGAGATGGAATTCTCTTAGGGAGGATGGATGGGAGATTTGTGTTACCTTTATCCGGTAGAGGACGAAGCGTGGACGTCGAGGACTCCTGTTGCTGGCCCTTTTTGCTGGTGATGCTGCTGCTGCTGATGCTGCTGCTTTCCACGGCGACGACGACGCCGAACAACAGCAACAACACCCACGAATTCGCTGTCGCCGGCATCTTGCCGCAAGCCGCTCTTCTCGCCGATGCCCTCTCTGATGTTTTGTTTTCCTTTTACACAAAAACACAACAACCACTCGCACACACACACACTAACACTAACACTCACTATCTGAACACGGGGGAGGGCAAGGAATCACGAACAGGAACCTTTTATTCAGGTTTCCACTGAACCTTGCATTTTTATTCCGATTTGTTTACTTTCCGAAGCGCCAGCTATACGTGAATAGAAATAACGAATTTCCCCTATCAGTTATAATTTGTCAACAACGGTATATTTTTGATTTTTGCGATTTTTTCGCTCGCAAACACAACAGTTGTCAGGAGTTGTTTTTTTCAAGCACCAACGATTCTCAAAACGATACACAGACGATTAATTTTTTTATATTTTCCGGCAGTACTTGGAGCACAATATTTAAAATTCGCCGTCCGATTTACGAAAGACCGGTGTTTTGTGGCAGTGCGCGCGGCGGCGATGCTTTCTCCAGGTCATGAAAAATCCCGACCGTCGAAACGTCCGAACCGCGCGCCCTCAACTTTTTTTTGAGACTTTCGAGACCTTTTTGATACCCCCTTTTGAATCCAACCGCTTGAAACCCTATTTTATACCTCATTTTTTGGGGTGGGCACACTATTATATTGAGTTGGTCACACTATTATTTCGAAATCAGCTGCTTTACCGGTTCGATGTTCGAAATTTGAAAAAACAGAAACAGAAATCGGATAAAATTGAGTGCCGGGCCGGGAAAGTGAAAAAAAAACTCATACGGGAGTGCGGCCACAACAAAAATGCTTTAATAAATGGGATTATAATGACATTGCTGCAGAAATGAAAGGAAAAGTTTCAAATTTAAATTCTACAACCGCCACACTTATCGATAGGCGCGTAGTTTCAAAATCTTTGTTTTTAAATATATAAATGTAAATGAAAACTGTATAATATACTCAATACTTGAAATTATAAAGACATATTCAAATATAAAAGGTATTATTCCAAAACAGGGTTCATTTTTTGATAATTTTACTAAATTTCCCCTTTCTACAATGCTATATCCAGTTAAATAGGAACAAATTAAACTTCCAAATACATTTAAATATAGTTAAATGCCTAAACATTGTCCTAATTTAAATTTTAGAATGAATTATTCAAATTATTCAAAAGTATCACTAGAAACTATGGGAATCCCTGGAAATATCGATGAGAAAATCCCTCTCGCCCCTACGAAGTGTGACCATACACTTCCAACTAACATCGATATACGAAAAATTAGTACGATTATTTTTCGGGGAAACATCGATATTTCTAGATATACATATATTTTGGGCTTGCTATAAAAGCAGATAGCGCAAGGCATTCTCGAGACACTTTTTCGAGACAGACTTCGTGTAGAACAGTTGTGCGAGTGCTGTAAGCGAGAGATATTTTTAAGTTGAAAGTTAAGAAACCAAGACAGAAACAAAATGAGGGAAATCGTTCACATCCAGGCTGGTCAGTGCGGCAACCAGATCGGAGCCAAGGTATGTAAACAATATTTTACATTTATGTATATGGTGTTTTCTTTTTTTTTTTTGCACCATTATGAGCATAATTGTCGAGTACAGTCGCCAAAATGGCGTCATTTTTGCACGTCTGCCCATGTGGCAAAAAATTATTGAGGCCGCTGCCGGCATTTTCACGCACACACTCACGTTTATGTATATCCGATTCTCGGAGAGCTGGCGACTCGCCCGGCGTCTGTCTGTGTTTTTCCGATCTCTACATCTCGGAAAGCTTGCAGTCTGATGTTTTTTGTACTAACTTTTCGACCAAGTTCCCTGACACGCCCCAAATTCCCGAAAGCCAGTCTTTTAGGGCCATTGACTTGAACATATGTACATACATACATACGTGTATGTAATTATAGTTGGGTGTGTCGGCAATTACATTGCCCATGAGTGTGCATGTGTGTACATGTGTGTGAGTGGTAAATGCATGAGTCATTTTCTCTTTGGCAAAATACTTTCATAGTTTTCCTTTGGACGTGAAAGCCGCTTTGCTGCACAGATGGTGAAGGGTACTTTTCTTTTGGTCAACCAACAACACGAAAGGTTTTCTAAACTCACACCACCATCAGTCATAAACTTTTACATACCGCCATACGGTATAGGTATACGGCTTTTTACCCAAGTATTGGTGAGCGTCGGCCGGTTTTTGCCGCTATGCGTCTTCTAAAGAGAAAACATGACGTCATTTTAACCTAAAATGGCTGAATTTGTCGTTGCCGTTGACCGGTTCGAGAGTATAAGAGTATACACATAAAAATGGGATGTACATATGTATGTACATCTAAATATGTATATAGAGAGCAGATGTACTCGTTCTATCGATTTGCCTGCATTCCGCTAATTTTTTGCACTACTCCAGCAACTTCTCTATCTTATCTGGCGTGAAAATAATTTCTATTTTCTGAGCATGACGCCATACATACAAAAATACTCTTCAATTATTCGTTTGCATGTCATGTACATACATGCAATTGCAAAAAAAAAAGTTTGGCTTATTTTTATGATGCTGGCTGGAAGTAGGATGGCCATATATGGTGGAATTTGCTAGAGCCATCGACATCGCCATCGCCATCTGTCTCTCTATCTCCATCTCTATCTAGTACACACACACCTTTTTGGGGTGAAAGGGCGGTGCTGCACATGCGCGCAGACGCCTTAACGGGACTCTGGCGATGACGAATCCGCTGTGTCATCGCCTGTTTCTAGTCCTTGCCGGGAAAATCAATATCCATGTCCTGAGAATAGGCCGAAAACAACCCTAAAAACCGAGCAGCTGCAACATAACAATTGTTGTGCCCAAATACGGGTATATGGGTGTGATGGCGATGGCGATGGCTTAAAAGGGAATTTCCATATAGATTATAGAAGATATATATATATATATATATAGTATATATATTTTATGAGTGGCAACCACGCATTTCCTCCTCTGTACCTCCGTAAATTACTTTATTTGTTTACGCGACATAAACAACGACTTGAGCCTAATTTTTCGGCTCTGCGATGACGCAATGCCCTCAAAAAAAAAAAAACGCCAGATGGTCGGTAGTTGAGCTTAGAGCTGCATTTTAACCTTAGCTAACGCCTACGCCTCTCTAAGTACCCGGCCGCCGCCACCGCTACCGCCTCTTCCTTCCGTCTGGTGATGTAAGCCAATGGACGGACGGGAGAGAGCGGACGGGGAGAGCGAGAAAATCCCGGCTCTGAGGTCGTGCATGGTGCGTGGGGCGATGTATATGTATGTTCATATCACTGCATCATCCTACGCTCCACAAGATTCAAGAGAGATCGGATCGAGAGTCAGACCAATGCCAGCCAGCCTGCCAGCCAGCCGGCGGGGGCTATAGCGACAGCTGCGCCCCGATCCAAAAGCCTCAAAACCCACGCCAGATGACGTTATCGTTGGTGGCTTGGTGGCTTGGTGGCCACCAAAAATGGCAGCGGAATGACTTATGTTAATCGGAGCTCGGCCCATACACAGTTTATGATGGCGACGGTTCGCCCCGCCGACACAAATAGGTCCATGGACATGTATGTCTGTCAGTGGCCTGTGTCTGGCAGTGGTGTCTGGTGTGGTGGTGGTGTACACCCATTTAATTCGATCAATAAAGATTCATTTTCACCTAAAAATTAAAGCAATTTAAAGGCAAAGAGAGGCAAGTTCCCAAAAAGAGGTCGACTTTTACGATTCATTGATTTTCCCAGCTGAGTCATCGGCTTCTCCAACTCTATATCGATTTTTCCAATCACCTTTCTAATTTTGAAAATTTTCTTTCTCCTCCTCTTCTATCCAACAGTTCTGGGAAATCATCTCCGATGAGCACGGCATCGATGCCACCGGCGCCTACCACGGTGACAGCGACCTGCAGCTGGAGCGCATCAATGTGTACTACAATGAGGCCTCCGGTGGCAAGTATGTGCCCCGCGCCGTTCTGGTCGATCTGGAGCCCGGCACCATGGACTCGGTGCGATCGGGTCCATTCGGACAGATCTTCAGGCCCGACAACTTTGTCTTTGGACAGTCGGGAGCTGGTAACAACTGGGCCAAGGGCCACTACACAGAAGGCGCTGAGCTGGTGGACTCCGTGCTCGATGTTGTACGCAAGGAGGCTGAATCCTGCGATTGCCTGCAAGGCTTCCAGCTCACACACTCGCTTGGCGGCGGTACCGGCTCCGGTATGGGTACACTGCTGATTTCCAAGATCCGTGAGGAATACCCCGACAGGATCATGAACACATACTCGGTGGTGCCGTCGCCCAAGGTGTCGGACACCGTGGTGGAGCCCTACAACGCCACGTTGTCGGTGCACCAGCTGGTGGAGAACACTGACGAGACCTACTGCATCGACAACGAGGCTCTCTACGATATCTGCTTCCGCACCCTCAAGCTGACGACACCCACATACGGTGACCTGAACCATCTCGTCTCCCTAACCATGTCCGGCGTCACCACCTGCCTTCGTTTCCCCGGCCAACTGAACGCTGATCTCCGCAAGCTCGCCGTCAACATGGTACCATTCCCCCGTCTCCACTTCTTCATGCCCGGATTCGCGCCACTCACCTCCCGTGGATCCCAGCAGTACCGCGCCCTCACCGTTCCCGAGCTCACCCAGCAGATGTTCGATGCCAAGAACATGATGGCTGCCTGCGATCCCCGTCACGGTCGCTACCTGACCGTCGCCGCCATCTTCCGTGGCCGTATGTCCATGAAGGAGGTCGACGAGCAGATGCTGAACATCCAGAACAAGAACAGCTCATACTTCGTTGAATGGATCCCCAACAACGTGAAGACTGCCGTGTGCGATATCCCGCCCCGTGGCCTCAAGATGTCTGCCACCTTCATTGGCAACTCCACTGCCATCCAGGAGCTCTTCAAGCGCATCTCTGAGCAGTTCACCGCTATGTTCCGTCGCAAGGCTTTCTTGCATTGGTACACCGGCGAGGGCATGGACGAGATGGAGTTCACTGAGGCTGAGAGCAACATGAACGATCTGGTGTCTGAATACCAGCAGTACCAGGAGGCCACCGCCGACGAGGATGCCGAATTCGAGGAGGAACAAGAGGCTGAGGTCGACGAGAACTAAAATTTCCAACCCTCCCTGCTGCCTGCCCCCCTAATTCGAATTTCCGATTCTCGATTCAATGTTTTGCGAGAAAAAATGAGAAAACGAGAACAAGAATTCACTTGTAATTTGTTTGTTCTTTTAACAACGTAATCAATAAAGTCGGATCCAATTTTGTTCACAAGCCTAAATATTCTCTTTCTATATCTCTGGGGGGATTAGCAAACATATATATATATATATCTGTAGATGTATGTACATTTCCTCATTTACTGAAGACTGAATATATATAGTCTCCCAGAAATTTCGATTGTTTGTATTATTGGGGTTATGCTTGATGTATGTCTAGTCATTCATGAAGGGATTTATTTATAGATTTTCTTTTATTTATTAGCCGGTTGGAAGTCCCAACCTGCCCCAACTCTTCCAAACAAAATAATTACTTGCCCTTGAGGAGAGGGCATCACATGATAACACTGACGTGGGCATTCCAGAGTTACTTGTTTTTTCGGTTAAAAATCGGGTTCTGGAGAAAGCTTCTATAGATATATATATTATTTTGTTTCCAAATAAAGAGATGCCGGCTGTGTGAATGATCTGTGATTTGTTTTTCGGGCTATATTATCGATTGAAACAATCATATGGCATAATTGTCATTCATAACCTAAACCATTTGGGCCGAAAAAGCGATTGAGTCATGAAACCGGTTTGAATAATGAGCATTGTTATGTTAAAATAAACTTGAAAGTGAGGAGTATATTTCTATGGAGACGTGGGCTCATGGTTCTCAAGGAAATGAGGTTATTTGAGAGAAAAAATCATTTATCCCTAAAGGACATTCCTTAAATGGCAGCTGTGGGATATAGTCTACTGTTTCCATTCCAATCCCGACTTGTAGTCATTATTTTTAAAACTAATAAACTAGTTTGCTTCTAAAAAAAATAGACAGATGTTTATCTTATAGCTTATATCGACTTGGGGAGGTCAACCTCCAGGGAGATCCAGAATATATATCTTCTTTATTGGTTCATCGTATTGCATACTTTTAGGCCTTTTCAAAGAGTATAATTATAGCCACCCCCAAAAGTATGCTAGCAAAAACTCATCACACAATCGATACTATCGATAAATTTGTCGTCGGTTTCACACCCCTAGTTTTGTCGTTCGTGTGTGAGTGTCACTGACTTTTGACAAGTAAGATAAAAAATAAATAATAGGCAATTTTTGGCAACTACTTAAGTTGACAAATCCATCCCTTACCTCCCTTTATCAAGATGATAGCAATGGATGAGCAACGCGGCGACAAAATCTATGGCGGGGTCGAGGGGCCGGACGCCATGTACGTGAAGCTGATTTCCTCGGACGGCCATGAATTTGTTGTAAAACGCGAGCACGCTCTTACCTCCGGCACAATCCGGGCGATGTTGTCCGGACCGGGCCAATTTGCCGAGAATGAGGCCAACGAAGTGCATTTCCGTGAGATACCGTAAGTAGCGCCAGAGTCCCACCCATCAACAGGGCAACAGCCTGTCTAGCAAAGTCATCCGGCTGACCTATTGACCGGCGACTCACAATCCCATATATGTTTATATATATACAAATATATATGTATATACCATGCACTGCTCAGGTGCATGAAATATAAAACCTTTATAACGAATCTAGTCCCCGGATTTATATATACACGTAATCCTAAGTATCAAAACTAATCGCACTGAAGCCGGTTCCGGTTTTCCATTTCGCAAATTTTGTAGAATTTCGTATTATATATTATTAATCTTTGATTTTCCTTTTGCAGATCCCACGTTCTACAGAAGGTCTGCATGTACTTCACATATAAAGTTCGCTACACCAATAGTTCTACCGAAATTCCCGAATTCCCGATCGCACCCGAGATCGCATTAGAACTCTTGATGGCAGCCAATTTCCTAGACTGCTAAATTATAATTGAATAATTTGAATTTACATTATGATTAATTGAACGGAAGGCCAGTGTGCCTGTGTTAATTTCTAATGAAACGAAGAATGTCCTTGTATGCGAAACGAAAAAAAATTAAAAATAAAAATAAATTTCTGTTGATTTCCAAAAACCTCAAAAAACAAACGATATTTTTATTAAAGATTTAGATGATTATTTGGAGTGCTTGGCTTTGGCTTTGGTGGCGTCTTTGTTGCTCAACATCGCGAATCTCATTTGCTGGATGAGCCATTGGACACCTTCGCCGAGTCCCTCGCCGGATATGGCGTTGCTGGAGCAGATGTGCCACGGTTTCTCCTTGATGTTCTCCAATCTCAGGGCTAACAATAGTAATATTTTAAAATAAAATTTAATTAAATGAAGTAACTTGAGAACCTGCTGCTATTTTAACGCAAGACAAGGAGTCCTCCACATCGGACTTGTTGCCATAGAAAAGAATTGGCACTATGCGGTTGGACAGGTCTGGATGTTGCAGGACCAGATCCAACTCATCCTTGACCACAACTGAAACAAATGTAGTACTCCATCATCATAGAAGTAAGGTCTTTAAAAAAGGATAATACCAAATCTCATTCGATCGCTGGAGTCAATGACGTATATTATTCCATGACAGTTCTTAAACTGGTGCTCCCAGAGGTTCCTATACCGCGTGGCGCCCGACATATCAATCGCCTTTATGCTGACACCAGACATGCCTTTGAACAAAAACTTTAGATGGGATTTTTCAGGGAAATCCTTCACTTTCACTCACTGTAGAATTGCTCCACCATGAAACCAACTGTGGGCACCACAATACTGGTCTGCTCACTGGACTTTTTGAAATGGTTGATTATGGATGATTTTCCACTGTTGTTCAGGCCCAGGACCAGGATCGTCATTTTATCCTTCTTAATCTTTATCAAGTCGGCCAAATTGTGCAACATTCCCATTTTATTATTGAACTGGCATCGGTTCTATTTTGTTTACAGCTAAAGTCCGTGATAATTGTGGCATGTTTGGCCCTGCAAAGGACCTGAGGTTGTCATGGCAACCGACAAGGTGGTAGTGTCGACATCGATTTATTGAAACATTTGGCCACCTTCAACTTTGGCACCCACATCCGCTGCCGATTCATTCGCCCACGCAAGTGTTCAAGTTCACCCATGGCCTGACATTGAAAATAAGGGCTAGGGTTAAAAGGGCAACCGAATACCAGTTTCCATCAAAAATAATCCATTAACTAACTAAAACCACTTACTAACTAACTACATTCTTTAACAATTATAATTTTCAAGTTTTACGTGTTGACACAAGCCAAGGTTTATTTTAGAATTCTTCTTAAAAAACATGGTTAGGAGTAGTTAGCTTCTACTTCTTGCTGTTCAAGATGATACCGTCGTACTTCTGCTGGAACCACTTCATGGCATCCTCCTTTGTCAGGCGGTGGGGGAAGCCCACAGTGCCGGACTTGCGCTTCCTGTGGTTCACGTTGTAGCCTGCAAATGGAGTATAGGATGGAGTTAGTTTAAGAATAATGGATATAGAGGTGGTGTGGTGTCGAAATTGTACCGTGTGGACTGGCAAGGCAATGGGTAGCCAATCCAACTGAGCACATCTTCTTTGATTTGCGCACATTTACTGAGCATCAGTGCCTCAAGTGACAGAGATACCTAATTAAGTGCGTGGCTATCCGAAGCGGGGCCGACGATTAGCTTACCTGGGCGTCCCAGAACAACGTAAAAGTCCAGACCATAGATACCGATGGAGGGATCGTACTTGATACCCAGATCGATGTGTTCCTGGATGCCGAAACCGAAGTTACCGGTGGCGGAGAAGTTGTCGCGACGCAGCTCGTACTCGCGCACCTTCAGACCACGCTCCAAGATCTCCTCGGCCTTGGCGCCACGCACCGTGCAGTGGACGGCGATCTTCTCGTTACGACGAATACCGAAGGAGCGCACTGTGTAGCGGGCCTTGGAGAAGACAGGCTGCTGACCAGTCAGCTGCTCCAGCACCTGTTGCAGACACGAAAACAATTAGTTTCACTGATAATAACATATTCCGGGTCCAAGTACCTTGGCGGCACGGGTAAGCCTATCACCAGACTCTCCCACGCAGATGTTCAGGCAGAGCTTGCGGATGTGCAGATCCCGCATGGGGTTCTTCGCCGGGTCGCGCTTAATCTTGGGTTCCTTCTTGGCAGCGGCCTGCAAAACAACCAATGGACATCGTCACTTCCGATTCATAACCACGCAAAAAATAACCTTTCGGTCCGCATTTCGGGCGTTTTCCCTTTGTTTCTGCCCTCCAATAAATGCCTAGACGCCCATGCTGAGTAACAGCACATAGCCCACGTGTCAACCTACCGTCATTATGGATATTTATCTAAAATAAAAGTGGAATTATTAATAAAAGAAAACAAAAAAAAACGTGGAGCTCAAATATGGTGCATACCTCGCCGGAAACGAAAAGAAAAGAGGGAACCAGTGCTGCCAGATGGGAGGAGGGCAGTCTGGCCAAATACCACGTATTGTGGTCTTAACGCGTTTTGGTCTGCACTTTCAAATTTTCAAACTATGTTTTTTGGATTATTGAAATAATTTGTAGATTTTAAACAAATTGCATGAGGTTTTAATTTATTTTTAAAAGATTTATCAAGAAATAACTTACTAAAACGTTATAATATAACATTTCCGCAATCGGTTAAGACCGTTTGAAAAAAGAGTGGCAACATCATTATTAAAACCCTCAACTGTTAAAGCAATGTTAAAACCAGGGCTGACAATTTCCTGCGAGTTAAATATTTATTGTAAATTTAAATATGTATTTCCCGGTTTATTTAAAAAGTATTAGTTACATTTTTTATAAAAACACACAAATGAACAACAAATAATTTTTTATTGTTACTTTATCCTTAAGATTAATACCCGAAACATGCTAAATGTGCAATATCTGATATTATTTGAATAAACGTCAATGTTTTTTTTTAATTTAAATGAAATTTGTATCATGTTCTGATTATTTAATTGAAGCTGCAGCAAGGCGCCTAACAAATTATTCTCTTTAGTCAATAGACTTCATCTTGCAGAGATGGTTCACCGGCAGCATCTTGACCTCGTCGTTGATTTTGCAGACGAGGACGTCTCCCTCTTGCTTGGCCAGAACTCGGCCCACGGACTCGCGCTCCTCCCCGTAGATGACCTTGAATTCGTCACCACTGTTCGGAGGCACCGGAGCAAGATGCTCGCTCACAATAGACACACTGCGATCCTCCTGGCGCAAGAAAACGGAGCAAACACCATTGGAAACCGTGCGAATAACGCCAGTTTGTCCCACCAAGTCGGTATCGTCATGCGTGTGGATCTTAACTTCGATATCCGTAGTGCACCAGTCGCCCATAGAGGAGTCGAGACTGGCTCCAGGTGTCTGCGGATTGTACGGAGACTGGGGAATGCCGCCCGGAGTATTCGGGGAGTAGGTCGATGGCGACGGGGTGTTCATATACCCAACTGGATAGGGAGATGGGGCTGGACTAGGACTGGGGTTGAAGGGGCTGTAGCTCCTATCCGATCCGTACAGAGTACCAGGTGTTTGTGGTGCAAACTGCGATGTCATTTGATAGCCAGGAGTGCCTAAAACAAGGATTTAAATTAGAGCATGGAAGAGGTATGGGAGAAAGGGAATTATTACTTGGATTGTAGCCAGGACTTGGGCTTGGCTCCTCCAGCGAATAGTCGAATTCGTTGTTTCTGGCTGGCGTGGTATTGGCCGTCGGATCCCAAGCTCCATGACGTGGCGTCATGCTGCCATCGTGCGATGGAGTCATTGTACCATAAGGAGTACGAGTATCGGTATCCCAGTTGGGAGTCTGGCTTCCCACCAACGGTGTCTTGGAGCCGGCAGCGGTGTAGCTGGGTGTCTGGGCTCCATAGCCAGGAGTACGCGCCGGAGTACGTCCATAAGTGGATACACTTCCCTCCTTGCCGGGAACTCCAACAATGGCAATGTGATTCCTATCCACCGAAATCGTTTGACAGGAGGTGTGCAGCTCCACGCGAGCCGTGCTCTCCGTGGCATCTTTGACGATTCCCACGGCTCCCTTGTAAGGTCCACCACTGATTTTGATGGTTTTGCCCAAAATCTCTCGATCTCGTGTCACCCGGAATCCTCCCCTGCCGCCGCGTGCTCCACCACGAGCTCCACGACCTCCGGATGGATGCATCGGCGACTGGATGCGCGGTGACATAAATCCTAGACCACCCAGAGTTCCAGCATTGTTGACATTCGTCTTGCTGCCACCGGCCAACTGCAAGTGCCGAGTCTTGCACACGAATATGCCACCGTTCTCGGTGTACATGCGGCAATGGAGAAAGGCGAGACTGCGGTACAGATGCTTGATCTCACCGGAGCGGCCCTAAGATGAAGATTTTTTAAATAAAACCTTTAAAAATAAAAGAACCAGCTTACGGCATGGGGTCCCTCCATAACTTTCACGATATCGCGCCGACGGATCTGATTTTGATCCGCATCCAGAGCCACCGTATTCCGGTTCTCCCTGCGCTTGTGCAAAGCCGTGGGCTTGCACTCGATGCACTTTCCATTCATGCCCAGAACATGGAAGTTTTCGCGCTCCAGCCGAACAATAACGCCTACATTTTGGGAGCTATTCGAAGAGTCCAACATTAATTCAGATTCATTATCAATTATGGATGAAACCTTACTCCAATTGCACCAGATCTCCCCATTGGAACTGACCAAGACAGTCCACACCAGTGGCCACATCGGAGCACAGCTGCAAGTCCCGCGGCAGGACCTCCAATTCATGATTGGTCAGATCCGAAACGAGAACCACCCGTGAGGGTTCAACGCGAATAATTAGACCAGTTTCGCCTTCATACCGGCCGGCCAGGACCCTGGCGTGGTCTCCAGTCTTGAAGTACTTGCGCAGCTCGAGGGCTTTAAAAATCAAGGGATCCTGGAATAAAAGTTGATGAGTTTCCATTTAATTTTATAGCTTTTAGGGTTCTCAACCTTAAGATCCTGATGCTTGGGCATCACAGTAATCATGGGGCCATCAATGGCCACAATCTTGGCTTGCAAATTCTCCAAGTCACCATTGCAGACTTCAACATTGTCGCCCATCGAGAAGGAATGAACTGAAGTCGGATCGTCCTTGGCAGTGCCCATGATTTCCAAGTTAACCTCTGCAAACAATGGTATTTAATTATTTTTCTTAAATATTTATATAATTTATTTATGCTTACCTTCTGGAGATTCTTCAAAGCGTTCCAGCTCGGCCAGTGTGGGCTTAACTCCATCCGACAGAATGGCTGACATGTTGAAATTCTTGTAGAGAAATCCTTTGCGCGAGTATCTGTTGCCCTCGAACAGCAGGAAATCACCATCCGAATGGACTTCGCCGCCAATAGCTCTGCATTTAAGGTGGTTAGTAATGAGATACAAATAATAAACTATCTATTTGTATACCTGACGGCTTCTGGATCGAATGGCTTTGCCGGAGGACGGCGTTTCTTCTTGCGCTTGCTATCATCCGACTCCTGAAATAGTTTACATTCTCAGATTTCAGATTCTTGGATTCTTGAAATTAAAACTTGCCGTTGCTGTGGTCCTAAGGGCACCGCGCATTCTTGTGTAATCGATGCGTGGCAGTAGCTTCAGATGGACTTGGTTCTGGGCCAGATCCACGTAGTCAACCTGAGCGATGTCGTCCTTGTAGAGGCCGCGCTTTAGACGCACCCATTGCTTGACCTTAAGGCCCACCTGCTCCTTGACCACCTTCAGCACATCAGTCATTTCCTTGATGGGCACCATCTCCTGCTTCCATTTGCCCATTCGCAGATTGCCAACATTGTCGATGGCCGTTTTGACGTGGGTCTGCTTGTAGGCCTCCAAGTAGATGTATCCCTTGACGCCTTCGGGGGCGACAATGGATTTGATTTGCAGAGGATCATCGGTGTTCAAGTAGGTCAGGAACTTTCTCATCAGCAACAAGGCGGTGGCCTTTTCCTCCCCAATGCGACACTTGACCATCCACAAATTGGGATCCCTGTAAGGATAGAATGGAAATCATGAAGTGCTATATAGTTCTAGAGGCCTGATCATCTTACTTGATTCCTGGGAGCAGAGTTTGCTGGGTGATCTCATCCGACATTTCCTCTCCGCCATCGCCAAAGTGTCTTTTTGCGATGGATTCGTCGGCGTATTTCTTGCGAAGGTACTCCTCGATCTCATCTTCTTTTTGGGTGCTAGGATTAGGTATGAGGTTAGTTAGTTAACACGTTGTTCTGTAGAAGTTACTTACTCCCAGAGGTTTGTGCCTCGTCGGCGGATTTCAATGTCCCGGGCCGTGGGTCCCAGTTCATCTATTTCGTTTCCTACAATGCCTATTTCATTGGCACCCTCTTCCCACTCCTCATCCTCGTCGACCTGTGACCGAAAAATAGATTAGTGCTTGTTTTGATGGAGAATAGAGAGTAACCCACTTCATCGTCCACTTCGGCCTCATCAATAATGAATCCACCGAAACGCTCCTTCTTCTTCTTTTTCCTAGGATGGTCGTCATTCTCCTCCTCTTCGTACTCCTCCGAGTCGATGTCCTCGCCCGGCGGCTCTTCTTCCTCCTCACCGGACTCATCGCTCTTCCGGCGATTGCCACGACCTTGTGGAGACTCTGATCCTGAGCGGGAGTGACCCGACTGGGAGCGGGACCTGGATCTGGATCTGGACACAGACCTCGATCCGGACCGGGACCTGGACCTCGACCTTGACTTGGAGCGGGCGCTGCGTTGCGATTTGTTGGAAATCGATCCATCCTCGGACCCGCTGTCCGACATGTTGCTAACTTCGGAGTCCGACATTCCTCTCAACGTGTTCGGGGACTTCTGCAATATGGTTTAATGATTACAGCTTCATTCTACTCAAGATTAGCCAAAAGATATAGCTAGTAGCTAGGCAAATACAAATGCATATTGCAGGAACACGGTTTTCTTTGTTTTTATAACCATTTTTTAGTTTGGACAGTAGTCCAAATGTACGAAATGGTTTGGGCAATAGGAAAGATTCATTTTTATATTCGATTTTAATACCACTGAACACCAATGAACCCCAGAGAATCGAGTAACACTCTAACGGATCAAAATGCCACGACAAAATGCCTTCTATATTACTTTTTCTGATGAAAAAAGGCTGGTGTTGGCTTACCTTTTCGCGTTTTGAAGAACTTGTAGATGTCGCTGTATTTGATTAGAGATGGGAGTTCTGTACGAGTTGGCAATGCCTTTTTCTGATAGCCATAGAGATGGTATTGTTATTCGATAACAAGTTTCATCAAAACAATACATCGAAGTTGTTATCAGTATCTTTCCACCTCTACAGAGTATTTACTTTATTCGAAAATAGACATTTCAGGCCTGGCACGGCCATTGCGGGCGTTATTAGTTAAATTAAGTCGGTGATGCGGGGAGCCATCAGGACCAGCGTTCGGTTTTCTCAGTTATTGGTCCATTAACCACACCAACCCCTCACATCTGGCAGCCCAGACTGCTATGTATGTATAAACAGATGCATATATGTATAACAGATGTATTTTCATAAACCGAGAGTTTGGCAATAACCGAATATCGCGCTTTCCCGGCCAGATTAGAGAATTCGGCCAAGTTGACCGTCGATCGTGCGTCGTTTCGGACCATCGCAGAGAGTGGGCGGGCAGAGGCGGAAGAGAGTTAAGGTGTGGTTCGGTGCCACAACAAAAATTCATAACGAACGGGGTGGAAAGTCTTTCACTCTCCGACGTCTTTTACCTCCACCTGTCCGAAGATTGGCACAGGATTTCCGACTAACTACCGTGTGATGCAATCGCTATCCGGCCCCTACCGTAAAAACTACGCATCTGGTGTCTGTATCGCGGATTGAAGGTTTGTCCAAGCGGCAGCTGGTGGAACATGAACGCCGTGGAAAGCAGTCAACCGCCGCCCACCAGCCATGACTGTGAGTAGGAGTTCTGGTTTGGGCTGTCCAATTTCCAGATTTTCCCCGAAAAAGCACCCACTAATTAATTGATCTCTTCTGCAGCGCTCCTCGACGAGTACGTCATTCATGTGCACATGCCCAACAAGAGCTTCAAGGCGGTAAAGTTCAGTGTCAAGGAGACCGTCTTCAATGTGATCCGGAAGACCATCGAGGATCTGGGCCGGGATGGGCGACCGCCCAGCATCCAGAGGTATGCCTGTCGGATGATGAACATGATCAGCAAGGAGGTGATCTGGTTGGCCAGGACAACACCCATGCAGAAGGTCCTTACGCACATCCTGACGCCGGGCTGTGCCAATGTGGACTGTCCCAATAACGAGGTCGCCAAGGTCGAGTTCGAAGAGGGAATGCTCCACCATCCGGATCAGGGAAAGAGGGTCATCGCCAACAGAGTGTGGCGGGTGGAGCTGAGGGTGCGCTATGTGCCCAACAGTATTCAGGATCTATTCGATGAGGACAAGGCCACATGCTTCTACTATTTCAATCAGGTGAAGGAAGATTTCATCCAGGCCAATGTAGCAGCGATCGACACCGATGTGGCGGTCCAATTGTGCTGCCTGGGCATTCGTCACTTCTTCAAGAACATTACGGTGAAGGCCCCGGACAAGAAGCCCGGACAACACATCGACTACATTGAAAAGGAAATGGGATTTAAGAGTTTTCTTCCACAATCTGTGATAGCCACAACAAAGCCAAAGAATCTTAAGAAAATGATCCAGGTCGGTTACAAAAAGGTCTACAATTACAATGACATTGAGTACTTGACACGGTGAGACAAATTCTGATTAATTGTGGCAAGGCACGTGGTTGTACGATTGAATTACCTTTTCCGTTGCAGGTTCTTCGATCTTTTGAAAAATATTTATTTAACAAACTTTGAGCAATTCTCGGTGACACTGAGCTCTGCCTGGAATATATCTGGTATCCTACACGTCGGCCCCCACATCGGTATGGTTCTTCTGAATGGGAAACATAAACACTTCTTGCTCAACAGCCCCTTATACTTTTGTATTCGCAGGAATCTCTTATCAGACCCATCCCCAAGCGAGCTTGAAGAATGTGGCTCAGTTCAGGGATGTCGTTGCAATAAAGACATGCACTCTACCAAAGGAAAAGCTGCCCAAGGCCAGCGAAAATGCAACCGAATCGGAGTCACACCACTTAAACTGCAACTGCCAGAAGATCAAGACTCAGATCAAAATCTCAGCATCGAATAATGTGGAAGATTTGGTTATTACGTGCAATGGAATTAATGTGAGTGGACTTCTGTCTTTGATTATTACAATTATCTCGTTTTAATGCTATTTTTGTTATGTTCCAGACGGCTGAGAGCATTGCCGACCTCATCGACGGCTACTGCAGATTGTTATCAAAAGACCTGGAATTCACAATTTGGCAGAGGGAAACGAACGCATCAGCATCCAGCGATGATAGCTCCAAGGCCTCCAGCAATAATGCGACTCTGGAGTCAAATAAATCAACTGCAAGTCCATCCAAGCCCATGCTAACGGATGACTACGCCGAGATTGGACTAATGGAGGGGGAGGGCGACTACTCCACGCCCACTGTTCGCAATTATGAGCTGGACAGGGCCCACATTACCCCAAGTGCTAAGATCGGTGTGGGCCAGTTCGGAGATGTCTATGTTGGCACATACACTCTTCCGAAGTCGGCCAAGGCCAAGAACTATGTGGGAAATGGCAAAGACAGTAGTAATAGCAACCAAAGAAACGCCGATGGAAGGCCCGACGTCATTCAAGTGGCAATAAAGACATGCAAAGCTAACGATGATCCCGAGAAGACAGAGAACTTCTTGGCAGAAGCTTGTAAGTGCGGTTTATGCTATGATGAATGTTTATCTCTGATGTTTCTTGTCTTTTCAGATATTATGCAGAAATTCGATCACCCTCATATTATACGATTGATAGGCATTTGTAGTGTAATGCCGATTTGGATAGTCATGGAGTTGGCAAAGCTTGGGGAGCTGCGGGCATACTTAAAGACAAACAGCGAAAGGTGAAGAGTGAATTAAAGCTATTTCTTACAAGCATCTAATTAATCTTTTTGTTTAGATTAACTCATGGAACTCTGCTTAAATATTGCTACCAACTATCAACTGCTCTGAGCTACTTGGAGTCCAAGAAGTTTGTGCACCGCGACATTGCTGCTCGCAACGTTCTCGTCAGCACTCCCACGTGTGTGAAGGTTTGTGGATACATCTTTTCAATGATTTGTTTATATTCCCCATCGACTCTTGCAGTTGGCTGACTTTGGATTATCACGCTGGGTTTCCGATCAATCGTATTACCATTCGACACCCACAGGTAATGAATGAATATCTCACAGCTGTGACCTTATAACATAAACTGGTTTTTGGTGTTTTAGTGGCCCTGCCCATCAAATGGATGTCGCCGGAGTCGATAAACTTTCGTAGGTTCACCACCGCCAGCGATGTGTGGATGTTTGGTGAGTGGAGGAGCAACGAGGGAGAAACAACAAATTTATTAAACTGACACTAATCTTTTGAATTAATCAGGTGTCTGTATTTGGGAAATACTTATGCTGGGCGTCAAGCCATTCCAGGGCGTTAAGAACAGCGATGTAATCTCAAAACTGGAGAACGGGGAGCGCCTGCCGTTGCCTCCCAACTGTCCACCGCGACTTTACTCACTAATGTCCCAGTGTTGGGCTTATGAACCACTTAAAAGACCGAATTTCAAGCGGATTAAAGAGACACTTCAGTAAGTTTTTCCAAAAAAGAAAACCAAAAGACACAAATGTTGTAATTATTAAAATCATTTTAGGGAAATTCTGATTGAGGACAGCATTAGCTCGTCGGAGACTCTGAAACGAGAGCACCGACGAGTGGCTACCATGTCCTGGGTGGGCAGTGACGATGTCGACATTCCGCCCATGAAGCCATCGAGAGCTATACACGATTCAGGTAACCAAGCCCATAATATACTTCTGTAAAGGTTTTAAAATTGTACTTTTGGTTATAGACCTTTCGACCCTGATGCCCAATGCGAATGAAACAACCTCGACACCTCAAACATACATCATTGCCCAAAACCCCGCCGTGCTGGCCAAGCTGATGATGGAGAACCAGAAACGTGGCATCAATCCGGCCGCCTACACCACACCAGCATCGGTATTTAACACTCTAGCCGTAGAATTAGATGACAGCAAGTCGCAAGTTTCTCTCAAGACCACAAAGCTTCCGGCAGCCGATATGCTTAAGCTCGATCCCATCGCAGAATCCGAAAGACTCAAGACCCAGTTTTCCACTAACAGCAGTGCCAGTCAAATGGCCAACTCCCTTAGCGCAGTAGCTAACCCTCTAGAGACCCTTACTCCCCATCAGGCAGGTATGTTTACGGGTAGTTTGCCCTCGAAGAGTAGCTTTGTCGTTTGTGCTCCGCACACCGAGGATCAAATGCAAATGGAGAACAACGTGTCCAATCCAGCTGTGTCAAAGGTGGCCGGCTATAGTCTATACGGCAGTCTGGAGCGACATCAGCCAGCGCCCGCCAAGGCGATGCATTCAAAGGGCGGCAGCTTAGAGCGCCATCAATCGCTGATGTCCGCCCAGAATTTAGTTTTCTACAATCCAAAGCCGCCGCCTCATTGCACCAATACGGCGGAACGATCAAGGAGCATGGAGCGCAACACATATTTCCATGCCTATCGTCAGCAAATGAAGACATCGATCGAGTGCGAAGCTCTGCCAGAGGAGATCTATGATTTTGGAGGAGCTGGCCTGAAGACTTGTGTGTCCACCAAGCAGCAACAACAATGCAGTCCAATGATGAATCTATGTCCTGTGGAGATGCCACAAGTTCCAGTCCCAGAATGCTCGGGAGTGCATCCCCAAAATATCCCACCCAGTGGTCCAGCCAGCAGTTCATTTGGAGTCATCTCGCCACACAACATGGAAAATCAACGAGAATGGGAGCGGCAGTGGATGCTCTCCGGGCAGCAGAATGTTGCAATGGGACCTAGTGCATCCGATGGAGCTGTCTGCATGGCCACCTTGCAGGCTGAGGCTATGGGAAATCAGGTTTGGCCCGATGTTGGCTGAAGAAGTTTTGATTTTTTATCCCCTTGATTTGATTGAGTCTTTAGTTTGTTGGATTTTCTTTTAAGAATTTGTTTTATGTTAGTAGTTTTTGTTTTTTTTTTTAACTTAAAAGTATAGATCTTTAAATTACTTCTTACTTTTCAGGCTATTCATAATGTTATGGGCGAAAAGCTAAGACAACAGCG